GGGACAGGCATTCCTGAGTGACCTTAGGTAATACCTGGAAGAAAGAACTACCATTCCATTTTCTAATACTGAGGCTCAGAGAGGTTTAATAACTCATCCAAAATTACAGTGCCAATAACTGGAGAACTGGGAACCAAATGCTGGTTTGTCTGACTGTTGAGCCCAGACATTGCCCTTCTGTAAGACTGGGCTCCTGAGCACACCATCCTCATGTTTACCTGTGACCTTGGTACTTGGTCCACCAACTAAAGAACTGTTGGCCAGTTGGATAAAAAGGGAATGGCATTTGGTTTGATTTGGTCCCTCAGCTTGGCAAATGGCCTATCAGCCTTAGGCCCAGAGGGTAACAGTCACCAAGAGATCTGCTTAGAGGCCTGCTCCTCCCCAGCTTGTGGAGAGGTTGGGTATGTCGGTGTGCTGGTGTTGGCTTGGGAGCTCTGGGTTTTCTGGAGTTGCAGGGTAGACTGTGCTTCTGTCTGCAGCTTGAGCTGGGTTCTTGCTCCCTCTGTGTTCACCCTACTCTCAGGGCCCTGGTAGGTAGTGAGTGGGTGGGCAAAGACACCCCAGCAGCTGTCGATGCCTCTTCTTTCCTCTTTGAAGGATCTGATGCTGCTGCCGATGAGGGCTACTTCATCTATTAAACCCAATACACTTGTCGCAGCTGCTAAGCCCCCATAAGCCGCCGGGCGCCGTGTTTGTGATGGGACTGACAGTGCATGGAGGAGGCTGATTATACACGATTCCATTTCGCGGGCCCAGCAATGTAATTTCACAGGGCGATCAGCGTTTGCATGTAATAGCAGGCTGTGCTGAGGTGTCAGAATATTAAAGGCGCTAATGGCAAAGCTCCCTGTTACACAGGGGGCCACCCGCCGCGCCTACAGCAGGGCTGCGTGGCAGGCCCGTCGCAGATGGCTGGCCACTAAGCTAATGGGGCAGCAGCCAAGGCGGGCAGAGCACGAGAGGGGAGAGCCAGCCGGGAGCAGCTCGGCACCTGCTTCCCTGTGCATGGAAATTACAGCAGCCCAGGGGAAGGGAAGTGTGCACGCCTGCCTGGCACGGGGCTGGGAGGGCGCAGTTTGGTGGACCAGCATCTCTCACCGCAACTCCACCTACCCTGGACAGGTCTTAGGCTCCTCAGACATCTTTCCACCTGCCCCACCCTCTGGCCAGGAACCCCTCAAGTGGGCCTGACAGCTGGCAGAAGTGCAGCTGGAGAAGTGGCACCCCGAGAATCTAGAACCTGCATGGAAAAGGGGCTCAGGCACAGATCTTGGCAAGAGCTCTTAAAACAGATTCCTGCCCCACACTGATCAAGGTCAGAAAGCTCCGGGTCCCTTACCCCCACACCACACGGGCTGGCGGAAGAGAAAGAGTGGGAATAGGAAACAGTGGGGGAAAGGCGGTAGACTATAATCGGGGCCCCTCGGTTGATGCCAGTTTGCAGAGCTGGGAGGCAGCATCTGAAGTTATGACTCCTTCTGTCGGTGTCAGCTGCCCAGCAACACCCAAGCCTTTTCCTATGCACTCCACAAGCTTGCTCCTGCCATTCTCCTTTGCCCTTGCTATGTCTTCTACCTGGTGCCCTCCAGTACCCCTCCCTCCAGGAAGCTTTCCTAGCCACCTCCAATCCCACATCAGCCTTTTTGTCTCCATTGTCCCTGTGGACAGCCTCCTGGATCATCCGGCCCTGATGGTTCTTGGGTCCCAGACTTGACTTCCCAGCCAGAATCTGAGACAGAGCCCACACCACCCTGTTCTAAGCTGGACCCCAGGAAGTCTCTGTTAATGTAATCTCTTTGGGAGGATGTCAGGAGGGGGTGGGGAATGGAAGGAGGGCACACTTGTGTGGGTATGCACGCCCCACAGTGTGTATATCTGGGAGGAGGCCAGGGGCTTTAGAAATGTGTGCTGAGGGTAGCAGGCATGTGGGTACAAGTGCCTAGGGCAGCAGGTGTAAGTATTTGGTCCTCATATTGGTGGGAACACAGGTTGCTATAGGACCCGTATTCTCTGCGTGGCTCTCTGTGTCCGTCCACTGGCCGTGCCTGAAAGGTACCTGAGGTGGCAGGGGCAGCTTGAGGTGCTGGTCCATCTTACTGTGCCTGGAGGGTTCCATGAGGCTGTGGTCACGCGTGAAGTGTCAGCTCTGCAGGGGTATGTGGCAGTACCTGGAGGAGACATGCCAGGATTCTCAGCAGGGCAGCAGAGGGAGAGCCCAGGCTGAAGAAGAGCAGTTTTAATTAACCATTTTTAATATCATTTTGGACTTTGGCTGGTATGTGAAGGCCCCGCTGGAAGCAGCATTTGTAAAAATTAAATCCCTCTTATTAGGAGCTTGCCAGACCCATGTGCACGCACTGCCCCTCCCCCGCCCGGGCCCCCCTGAGGAAGTGCTGGATGAGGCCGTGTCTCAGCAGCAATTGGTTATCGCACCTTATCTGGGAATGTGAAACTGTGCGGCATGACACCCGCGGCCACGGCGGAGACGCCAATTCATCTCGCCCCGGCTCTGACAAGCTAGACTGCCCTTCCTGAAAGACATCCGTCAGGCGGGACGGCGCTGCCGCCTTGCTCGGTGCCCCTGCTTCCTGCCGTGGGTTCTGGCTCGCCCCGGGCCAGCCTGGTCCTCCCGGGCTCACTGCCCTCCACCCTCCTTCCACATGTCCGAGTCGGGGGAAGTTCTTGGGGAGTCATTATTATAATAATAATCTAATCATACTGACACGCGTTGGGGCAAGCGTCTAATGTTATCTGAAGTGGTCTCCTCGCTTAGCTGCGATAAGACTCAGGATGACGTGCAGATAACGTTGAGCTGCCCTGTCCCTGAGCCGAGAGCAGAGCAGAGGGGCCTCAGCAGCCCCGCCGCCCGCCCGCCGCTTTAAGCCGGGAAGCGGCAGCACCTGCTAATGCAAGTGTTTAATATTTGATGGGCTGGGATAAAGCAGGATCACCTTCGAATTGAATTGAGTGTCAGCCGAGAATCTATTACTGAAATTCGGGTGTGATTTGACAGCAAAGTAGACGATGTTATTCTTCACTAGTTACTGCAATCTTCTCCCCGACATCACTTAAATATTTTTTTCTTTGCTTGAGTAAACACACATTATCCTTCTTTTTTTCCCTTCCTTCCCTTTTTCCTTTTTAGAAGGAGAGAAAAAAACCATCCAGCTTGCCTTCTCCAGGCTGATAGAGTAGATTGTTATTTCTTTATTTGTCCTATTAAATGGAATTTCTGATCGTTTAATCCGGCCTTTGTAAGTGATTTTAAAGTACTTGAAAGCCGGCCCGCCACTGCTCTCTGGCCCACTGCACTCCGGTCCTGGCCCTGACCATGCATAGCAGCTTCTTCAGCTCCGCACCACCCACTGGCTGCTTTTCCTCCCCGCCTGCATGCCGGCTCCACCCTGGCTCAAAGCCAGCGACCTCTCCCCTGTCCTTGAGCCTCACACTCAGCCCCCAATTTGTGGTTGCAGCTGTAACTTGGGGAAGGGTGGGAGGGTTGGCCGGGAAGTTGGGCTGTGGCTAGTACCTTCATGGTCAAGGATAATGGCTTTGGAGGGTGTTAAGGGTGAAGTACACTGGCTCCTGGCCTTTCATTGCCTGTGGGGCCACGGCTTGGTTCCTACAGCTGGGAACGAAGGACACTAGTCCTCTGCCCAGCTCCTCAGCCCTGGCACAGACTCTGTGTCCAGCTTCCTCTCTTTGTTTCTGAACCTGTGCTGGTGCTCTCCCTGTGAAAGAGTCTGTGGTGGGCTGGGAGCCTCTTGGGCATAGTGATGGGCAGGGGCACTTTAGTGCCTGTCTGACCATGGCTGCAGTAACTTTAGTATCATCAGCGGACTCACCATCTAACTTCTGGGGACTCACCCAAGCTTCATTCCCATTGACCACTGTCTCACATGCTTCCTGCCACTGGAGAAGGGCAGCCTGATGTTTGGGGACTTCTAAAGTGAGTGGAAGGATAATGTTTGAAGTGTCAGCTAGCTATGCAAGTTCACTGGTAAGAGCCCAGGACTTTGCCAGCAGGTTGAGCAGGAGTTAAATTCCCAATGGGCCACTTAATGATGTTCTAACCCTTGTATGTCTCTTCTTTCTGGGTCTCAGTTTCCTCACCTGTGACATCAGGTTGTCATGCCTGTAAGGAATGTAAGAGCAGGAGCCATCCCTGTCCTGCCATGTACCTTGGAGTTTGTACCCCTCCCTCCCCGTGGAGTTTGGCTGCTGTCAGGTGACAGGAGTAGGGGAGCAATGAAGTGCTGGGGGTCTGAGCAGATCGATGCCCCCAGCACTTCCTTCCCCAACCCCAGGAAAACAATTAAGTACAGATCGATGGGTGGCCGCTTTGAATATGCATAAGTGAGCACTTGACCTTCAGCAGAGATCTGCTTCCCCTAACACACACACACACACACACACACACACACACACACACCCTTCATGTGTCCCCTCACTGCTGCTTGAATCTCACCAGGTGACTTTACCCCTCCCCAGTTGAACACTCGCCTGGCACTCAGCCTTCTACAGCCTGCCTGTCTCTGGGTCAGAAGCGCCCGGGCCAGGCAGGTGGCTGGCCCCCTCTCACTGTGATTTTCCTGTCTGTGAAGTGTGAATATGTTAGTCTCCAAGTCTTCCGGACCCCAGTCTCTGTGGCCAGTAATGCTATGGGAGGGGCCAGCAGAGGGCTGAGGACTTTGGAGAGGAGGGAAATTAAGGTGAAGGGGGTCCCCTGATGAGAGGCAGGGTCCTAACAAGGAGGGTCTTAGTAAATGGGAGCTCTCTCCAGGAATTGGTCAAAGGGCCTCCAAAGGGGAGATGCCCAGGAGAAAGGGAGCCCTAGAGGAGGAAGGGGTTTTCTGGTGGCAAGGGGACCCTGTGAGGGGGCTCTCCTAAAGTGGTACGATGAGAATAAGTCCTTGGGGGAAAGGTTTGATGGGGGGAGTGATGGGTTGGTTCAGGATCAGGGCCTCTGTTAACCATTCTTGCCTCCTGTCTTCCAGGCTTACAGCTTCGCCATGGGCTGCTGGCCCAAGAACGGACTTCTAGACATGAACAAGGGCCTCAGCCTGCAGCACATAGGCCGGCCCCACAGCGGCATTGGTCAGTCCTCCCACATGTCCCCCTGGCAGCCCGGTCAGTCTCCTGTCCACATGCCCCAGACCCCTGGCACACAGAGGGGTTCTGTGGCTTTTTTGAGCTCTAACAAGGTGCTCTCTGTAGCTGGAGAGAGCGGGGAAAGGGGGTAAGAAGGGAGAATGAAACCAGCCCATTGGAAAGGGATGGACAATATTTAGGAGGAGACTGGGGTTTGGGCTTTGGGTGGGTCGCAGGTGGCCTTGGATTCAAATCAAGGTACCCCTGCCTCTGGCTGAGTCTCTGGTGGGAGATGTCCTCAGAGGGGTGGGCACATGTCAGCTCACCCACCCCCCGTGGAGCTCGAGGAGGCTGTTTAATATTGTTTCAAGTCTGTGGCCACTAAACTGGGCGATCAATGGGAGTTAAGGAGATGAATTATTTAAACCTCACCAGCTTTTAATTAGTCGGGGTCCTTCTGACCGATGGCTCCGTCCACAGGGTATTGACTCCCCCGCAGGAGCAGCAGCCTCCATTGAGCGGTGACTGGGTTGGGAGGGGCCATTTGGGGTACCAGGTGGGGGTGCACCCTCAGGGGGATTACTGCTTGGAAGGCAGCTGAAATGGCCGTGGTTCTGGGCATTGGAGGCTCTGCTAGCCTCTGATCTCTCAGTATGGATACGTATCTGTCTGTGAGTGACTATGTGTGTGAGTGTGCGTGTGTGTGTGTAACGTGTGCACACATACGCGTGCATTTGGCAACTTCAGCTGCATGTCTCCATGTGTCTAAGAGTATATGTGTGTCCATGTATATCTATATTTGAGGGATGCATGTGTAACAATATATCTCTATATTTTCCTGAGAACGTGTGTCTGTATGGGAGCAATTGTCAGCTTGTCAGGAAATATGTCTGTTCATTTCTATGTGAATTATGTTGTGTGCATGTGCATACATGTGCATGCAAATGGTTTTTAGCAGGCAAGGCTTTGTTCCAATTGGGAGGAGCAGGGGTATTCTTGGGTGGCACTATGACATTATCACAACCTGTGTACCTTTGGGGAGGTATCAGGGGCTGAAGGAGGGATTGGCAAGATACACCAAAGGACCCAGTCACTTCCTACACACAAGCCCCTCATCTTTTCCACAGACATCATTGGTGCCTGGTGGCAGCTGGGCGTTCTAAGTAGAAGTTCCTGTCCTCAGGGAGCTCACATCCTGGAGGAGACAGAGACTGAACTGGGCATTTGCCACCAGACCACTGAGGGCTGTGCTAGAAACACCTGGGCTGCCCAAACAAGGTTTTCTCAGTTGCCAAATGGCTTCTACTCCTTCATTTACATCTCACTGACTTCTGGGATGCCATGTATCATACTTGTTGGGGGTGAGGGGAAGTGGTCAATGGGTCTAAGGATTTGGGGGGTACCCCAAGCAATTGCTGTTCCCTCCCAACTGCTGTTCTATGCAATCTAGTGGAGACCCCAAACTTAGCAAGGTGGTATGCCTGGGAGGTGAGCAGAAAGCTTCCTAGAGAAGAGGACACTTGAGTCAGCAGATCCTGAGAGGATGAATAGGAGTTTGCTAGGCAGAAAAATGGGGAAGGATTTTCTTCTTAGGAGGAGGCATGTGTACAATGCCTAAGGGCACGCAGAAGCCTGGCATACTGCGATGGCAGGTCCAGACATCTACAGATAGTTTCCAGTACTGCAGTGGGGCCTTTGGGTTAGGGAATAGCTAGAAAATCAGTGGGGACGTAAGTGGGCCTGCGATGACAGGTTAAAGGGAGTGGGTTTCTCGTGAGGTTTTGATGAGACAGGAGGTTTGTGAGAAAACAGCGTGATCAGAGCTCTGATTCAGACTCACTGAGGCACTCTGTGCTGCACAAACTAGTCCTTAATAGGTGCTCAGTAAATCCAATCAGGTGGTGGATGAACAAGTGAGTAGGTGAGTCAATGAAAGAGTGATGGGAAAGATAGAGACCAGAGAATGAGGACCAGTGAGAGGACTTGCATTGGCCCAGGGGAAGGGGAACTGCCTGTAATTGAGTCTGGCCAGTGGGAGGGACCAGTGGGACTGGGTTAGCTCACCCTGCACAGGGAGCTGGGTGCCCTCCTTCTATGTATCTATCCAGGGTGTGTTTCTGGGAGAAAGGGCTTCCTTGTTTCCACTGTTTGCTGCCTCATGGGACTCAGTGGTTCCCTTCTTTTCTCTTCACTCGTGTCCATTCTGGGTTAGGACCCCTGAGGTGTTCCTCTCTTCTTTATGGAGAAGGTTTTCCACCTGGGTGGGCCCCCGGGGACAGCCCAAGGCTGTGAGTGACTACAGAGTAGAGCTTTGGAGCCAGTTGTTCTAGTTCCACCATCCAGAGCCCTGTGGCCTTAGACAAGGAAGAGTGCTACTGCCTGTCCTGGCTGCTGGGAAGGTTCAGTGAAGTCAGCTGTGTGAGGGGCTTGTGCAGTGCCTGGCACACAGTGGGTACTCAAGGACACTGGGGATTCCTGGCATTTGGTGTTAGTGTTTTTGAATGAAGGGGGCTGCCCTGCCAGCTCCTGACTGGCTCTGAGGTGTGGGTAAGGGTCCTTGGAAGGGAGGGAAGATGCAGGGCATTAATTGGGCTGGGAGAGGCGGGGAGGGAGGCATGGGTTTTGAGCAGTGAGGTTAATGGCCCTCGCACCAAAGAGACAGCTTTAATGAGCTTCAGCTGGCGGTGCCCCGCGTTACTGTGCGTGCTAAAAGGGTCGTGCTGTAAGAGTTTGATGTGGACTATTTCCCAGCCCTGGGGTCAGGGGTGAGCTCCTGTCACTGGCCACTCAGGCTGGTCCTCGGTGACATGGTGCTAATTAACTCTGTGAGGAGCTGCCAGCCTGGAGTGGGGAGTGGTATGTATATTGGGGGTGGGGATGAGGCAGCATTGGTTATGCTGGGCAAGGGTTCTGCAGATCCCACAGCTTAGCCATGTCCAGGATCTGCTTGGTTCTCCCAAATTACCAATGACCCTAAGCCCACCGATGATCCTGAGCCTCTTTCTAAGGTACATGTGGCAGGAGCAGCCTGTGGGGCCTACATTGTGGGGGACTCCTGCCAAGCATTGGGTGATGGAGGTGCTGAGAGAGCAAGGGAGCTGGCATACGGGAGGGGTGGGCTGATGGGAGGGGCAAGGAGACCCAGCTACAGGGGGGGAGATGGCTGGTAGGATGGCTATGGGTGGCTGAGTTGTTTGAGGGGAGTGTGGGAATGTCCAGGCAGAGGAGTGACCAGGTCAGAGCAGCCTGAGAGTATGAGCAGGGAGGACTAGTGAGGAGAAACTGCAGAAGGGGAGGTACAGTAAGGTACATGGAGGTGAAGATTAATTCAGAGCCCGCAGTGGCTGTGAGAACGGAGTCAGGACCAGGTCAGTGAACATTTACTTTGCTTCTACTATGTGATAAGTGCTAGAGATGTATTAGTAAAGATGACAGACACAGTGCCCAGCCCCACAGGCACAGTCCAGGAGCGGGTATCGGTTTGGCCCTGGGGACTGAGGGAGAGGGGACCCAGCGGTGGAAGCATTGAAGCTCTGGGAGGTCGGGCTATGGGCTGTCAGCATGGCCTGGCAGTCGGGAGGATGCCTCCTGGGGGACAGGTTGGCCTGGTAAGCCTGGTGAGCAGGGGGCTGCTGGAGCGGCTTGTGGATGAGAAGGAACTACATGTGTGTAGACCTGGCTGTTCAGCTTCCTTGGCTAGGACCAGAGATCCTCAGCAGGCAGCCTCCACCAGGGACTGCTGAGTGCTGTGCTTCTTTCCTTTCGGCCCAGGGTCAGCAAGACACGCGCGTTATTTATGTTAACGAATTTAATTTTCACACCAGTTTTATGAAGGCAGACATCATCATTCTCACTGAATAAGGTAGGAAACTGAGGCTTACCTAGTTACGTTACTTGTCTGAGGTCACTCAGCCAGGTGACTTGAGGAGCCTGGCTCAAGTCAAACCCAGGACCGTATAAATGTAAAGCCTGTGTTTACATTTATAACACAGGCTTTACATTTCAAAAGATTCAAACCCAGGACCGTATAAATGTAAAGCCTGTGTTCTTACCACTGTGCTGAACTGGGAGTACCTTTTGGTGTCGGGCTTTGTGCTACCAACAGAGACAATGAGGAAGAAAATAAGCTCACTTCTCTCACTTCCCTCAGTATCAGCGACACTTACAGGCCTTGACAAAGCTTCAATAGCAACAACCGAGGAAGAAAGGAAAGGAAGCATTGCCACCCCTTCACTTCGGCTGTAGTCATGCTCAGAGCCAATGCCCCGCAACCTCTTCTGACCTCTTTCTGACCCTGACAGTTCTTACTCTTGTGAGCTCTGTTTGCTGTCTGCCTCTTGGCTCAGGAAAACCTGTCCATCTTCCAGAGGCCACCTCCCCTGGGAATCCTGCCTGGCCCTCCCAGGGTGGGTGTACAGAATACACCTTTAGTCTCTCATTATAATTTGTTTGCTAATGATCAGTCCTCACATACTTGACCTCTCGAAGGGCAAGACCCGGGCCTCCTTTGCTGCTTCCTTTTTGGAAGTCTGCAAAGGAAGGGTTAGTAAAATCTCCCCCATTGTTGGGACGAGGAGGCCCGTAGACTGCTGGTTTCAGCCGTCTGGGAGGATAACTGGAACCTTCCCTGATGTCTAGCTGGGTGGCCCTGCCCTGGTGGCTTAACCCCTCTGCTCAGGAACTGAGGAGAGTCCCTCTGAGGCTCCTGTCAGGCAGGATGGCCAGACAACAAGTGGATCCTCTCAGGAGTTTGTTGACCAGCACAGTTTGGCAAGAGAGCTGGGCTGGCAAGTGGCAGGATGGGGGCCTGGCCCCAGGAGGGCAATACTGGCCTGTGGTCTCCCCTGAAGGAATGGGGTGTCTATCAAGAGCCTAGTCAGAGCGCATTAGCTCTGTGACACGGATCTCATTAGCGCCCGTGAGAGGTGTCACTGCAGGAGAACCGGCTCAGGGAGACTCTTGTACCAAAAGGAAGAAAGGACAGTGACAGCCTTTTCTCTGCTGCT